TATTGTTTTTATTATTTTTTTTTCGCATTTTATTTTTAGCTTTAAATATTTTTAAAATTTCTTTTTTTTAATTTTATTCTCACATTTTTTCTTAATTTTTTTTAGTTTGCCTTCTTAGTATTAATTTTTTGCTTTTTTTTTATTGTTTTCAATTTTATTTTATTTTTTCATTTCCAATTTCATTAATGTTTTTTATGTTTATTTAAACTTTTATTATATATTTCACTTGTTCATAATTTATTTTTATTTTTTTTTTTTAATATATATATATTTTTTTTATTTCAATTTAATTCCTTCTGAATATTTTTTTGTTGTATTTTAGTTTTTTTATTATTTGTTATAATTTTTTTTTAATATTTTTATTATTTTTAATTTTTTTTGTTTTTTTCTTTAATTTCTTGTTTAATTTTTTGCTCTCATTTTTAATTTTTAACTCTAATTATGAATTTTTTTTTATTTCTTTTTCTTTAATTTCATATATTTCTTTTCTTGTGTACCCTCAGTGTGCCGACACTTAAAATCGCATAAAAATAAATGAAAACCTCCTAAACGAGTTGACCTTCCAGCCACTCTCATTAAACTTGCTCTCCTTCATTTTTATTCCTTTTTCCTGTAAACGCCTTCATATTTATATATATATATATAAATATATATATGTCCTTATGAAGTTTACAATCTATTTTTGACAACCTAATTGAGCAGCAAAAATTTGCCCAAAAAAAAAGCTTGTTATCCTTTCAACAACATTTGGGGACCATTATTATTGAGTGTACCACCACACAGACAAACCAGCTTTTCACTTAAACTGAGAGTTATGCGCGGAACGAGTGGAACGATGATAACAAAATTTATCCTTTCGACATGTGTCCTTATGGTGGCGTATAAAAAATAACAATTCACAGCTGTAGAGGCCAACAAAGCGGGTTGTGGCAAACAACAATTCGGGCAAATACATACAAATAAATAAAAAATAAATTAAAAAAAAAATTAAAAAAGGATAACACCGCATAGTTGAATGCACCACAGCGGGGGCGCTTGAGCAAGTATTTGCACACAAAATATTTTATATATATATATATATACGAGTATATAACAACTGAGAGTTACAGCAGCAGCACAACACAATAGAAAAGCAGGGATTATCAACTATTTTTTTGATAGACGAACAAAGTGTTTAAAATGTTGGTTATATTTCTTATTATTATTTTTATACTTCATTGTTGATTTTGTGATTTTTTGTTTGGCATTTCTTTTCGCGTTGCACTAGTAAAATATATATATATATATATATATATATTTATTTTTATTTTTATTTTTATTTTCCACACTTTGTTTTCCTACCTCAACGTTACTGGATTTTTATCGCTTCCTTTGTGTATCACTTATTAGCGTATTTACCGTTATTTATGGCATAAAATTATTTTATTATCAAACATTTAACACTAATTCGATTTTTATGCTGCCATTTTTTGCCATTTCATTACGAAAAACATGCAATCTGCATATTTGCATGTTGGCAGGATATTCGCGCAAGACGGAAGGATAAAAGGTCCTGTGGCGTAAAAATACACTAAAACACATTTACAGCTACAAAATAGTTTTTATTTTATTTAAAACAATTTTTTCATAAATTTTTTTCACACAGGATGCGTTAGTCAAGCACGCAGCTGTCGACACAACCAAAGCAGTTTTGTTAAAAAAAATAATCAATGTACACAGGCCCTTAAAAAGAAACAATTGTAGCATCTTAAATATTATAGGCATGAAATTTAATTTTATCATCAACAGAATTACATTTCATAATATATGAATATCCACCCACCACAAATGCTTAGCTCGAAAAAAAATTCTCCCACATATCCTTGCACCTCGAACGAGCACAACAGAACAGTGCTGCTTTTTCAACAACTACGCACAGACGACACAACGAACGCACTCGGCTCGTACGCCACGCAAACCACACGCACGACAGTCAGCGACATACTGAATCGAGTAGCACAACGAGCTCAGCGAACCCGGCACGGCACAGCACGTCGAGTGAGCTGTGCAAAAAAGTAGTTATATTTTTCGAAAGCTTCGCACACGCATATACATACACATACACATTTACACACAGATAAAGTAACCCGTGCAGGTCGTATTGTAGTTACTATCAAAACAAAATCAGCGTTGCAATCAGCAACATCAGCAGAGCACTGACCGACCGACCGACCGACCAGCTTAAATTCGCCTGTCGCTCAAACGAGACTTTCATTAACCGTTTGCTAGTGACCGTTGTATGTACTATGTTGTGCTCGTCGTCGGCTTTTACGCGTCCAGCCAACCAATTATCCCAGCTAGAGCGGCGAAAGCGAAACGAAAAAAAATAAATGAAAACTACCCAAACCGACGTATGGAAAATAGGAACGTACGCTCGTGTCCTTGCCACTAGTGCAATGTCCGACTGTCTGCCCGTTTGCCTACTTCAACAAGCTGCCTTTTCTAATTTTTTTTTTTATGTTTCTATTTTTATTTTTTATTTCCAAATATCCAAGCACTAAGCGAGAATCGCACACAAGCCCGGTCACGCGTAATCCTCTAAGGTAGATCTTGGCACGTACCGTTAAACGCTTTAACACAAACTGAATTGTTTCGTCGTATAACAGTTGTTTAAATAGCAACGAGCATGCAACGAGTTACCAACCAGCTGCTGGTCCAGCATTATTAAATACACACATATATATGTCCTAGCAAGCGGTTAAGCTTTCATGTGTTGATTAAACAAAGTACCGTTATGTGCCGAGCGCCAGCTATGTGTAACGGTTTGTTGAGCGGCTTCTTGAGAGCGCACACAACAAAGCAGTTTACAACCAATAATGAAAGTGTTATAAGTTCTCACTTGAAAGCTGCCGGGGTGAGCGCGAGAGTACACGGAAGTGAGCTTTTTCGGAGCTTTCAAACAGCTGTGAAGCCGGCAAAAGTTAAGGGTATTTTTTATCGGTTATTTTGGGACAAGCAAAGTGTAAAATTACCCCTCTAAATAGTGTGAAGATATGGGGTTGTTTACCAAGGGGAGAAAATTTTTCGTTAGTCTATAGAGGGAAATCAGTGCCGTATTCAACACTAGTGGACACTAGAGAATTCTCGAAAGGCACGCTTTTATCTCAAGCTGCACAAGCAAACTTCTACTCATCCGCTTATTTCCGGTTAGTAGAAAGAACTTTGTGATGGAAGTACCAAGGGAGGAATGAATTGATAGCTTCCACACTCTGGAAAGTAACATTGAGATTTCTACATACGGCTGATTCGAAGTTTGATGAGAGAGTTGGCGGCGGTGTATTCTCAAAGAAACCCCTACCATATGAGCTCCCCTTGCAACTACCCGATCCTTGAAGTGCTTCCCAAGGCGATATCACAGCTTTCATGGAGCGATAGCCAAGCAGTGACTAAGACGCTTGGCTTGGCTACAACAAACTCCAAAAATTTTTTTCTACAGTAGTTTTATAAGGAGAACAAACTGTCTCTGATTTCAATTTCTAGTCACCAGCATCCGAGGGAAAATGCAACGCAGAGCTGCCTATTAAGGATAGATCTTTCTTGATAAAAGACGCCGATGTGTGTCTTTTGCAAACTGCCACGTAAAGCATATATTTATGAGTGGGCCGCACATGGATGGACCAAAACTGTGATTTTCAGAAAACCTGGACCAAAATGGAAACGGAAGAGGTCAAGCGAAATTGTACTCTTTTGAAAGGAAAGCAGACAGGCGGGCGCTTGATGGGGCAACACGTAGAAAGTCTGAGGGTATGATTTTGTGGACAACGCAAGGTGGCTCAAGAGCGACGTTAAAGTTGTGTTGTGCGTGGATGATAAAGCGGTAAGACTAGATAAGAAACTTGTACTCGGGCGGCTCCGGCCTAAGGTAGACTTACTGGCCGTGATTGTATAGGCTGCGAGTGTTGACTTGATTGCCAGAAGAGCTCGGCAATCCAATGGAAATTCTGGAGCTCATCCAGCTTAGAAAGACGAGCTGTACATCACTGTTTGGGGGAAAGTACAAATTGGCGAGTTCAACGACGACCTCTCACTTCTCGCAGATTTTGGTAGAGATAAAAGCTGTGGATTATATTTCATCACTTTAGAAATCAACAAAGAAGGATGAAGGGTTTTTAAATTAATTTATCTCCATGCCGCCATCTTGATAAATCATCAAGAAATGGTAGCTCTGTCCAAGGCAGGACAGTCCTATGAAAGATGAACAATCGTTTCTCTCCGCTGCAGAGCTAGGGTATCTCTGAGTGACTTATCTCTATAAATGAGATGTTCTTTCCAACCTCGCTGTGGTCTATGTCTCCTGGCTCTGCTCACGGTGTTTTCCAGAGACACTGGTCTTTTAGTTGTTTAGGGAATTATAGATAACTTTTCCCTCAAGTCTACTTTTTGCAGGCATTGATGATTTGGATTTGGTACAGCAGATCCGCTGCCCAAAGACATTTGCCCCTGCTGCTTCAAACGGTTTTCGACGCTAAGTCTATGAGAGGCTTTTACCTGGCCCCTTCTTCTGCTGTTTTATACCTTCCGTGGGCCTACTGAGACGGGTGTTCCGTGGCTCCACTGGCGAACTGGCCTACGACTGCAGGCTTTTTAATGCCGCTAGAGGTTACTTTCCATATTAGGGCTTAGCTTGCTCCGAGGGTGTATATTTGTTATTTAATATTCAAGGTATTCTTTGGCAATCCATTAAATTGAGATCTTTCGAGGACCGGGGAACAGTAGACTGAAAAATATCCCCATTTGAAGAAAAAATTTCAAGCAGCGAAAATGATGAAACCAAAAGGAAGTGGAAGAACTCCACTCCGAAGGAAATATCAGCTTGAAAAGGACCTGTCTTCATCTGTTCCAAAATTCAGCTTGGATCAATTTCTAATTCTCAACTCCTTTCTGGGAGATTTATTCTCTTACTGTAATCAAAAATCTCATAAAATTAAATTTTTAAATTTATTTGCATTTTAAAAAGCGCCGTACCGAAAGCAAATACTTATTTCTTGTCCTTGAGAAGACTAAGAAGATTTTAGAGCTTATCCACAGTCTCTCACCCCCAATTAGGAAAAGAGTGCGTCAACCCTAAACCAGTATTAAACTCATTTCTACCACTTAATGGACCACTCAGCCAACGCGACCCGCCGGCGTTCAAGTCCAAAGACGTCTGACCATCGCCCGACTTAAAGAGATTAGACGAAGCGCCGAGATTAAGCTTCGAACCGAAATCATGCACCTTTGACAGGCCAACGTTAGCGCCAAAACCATCCGTATGCGCCCAATTGAGCCCACCACCAGTTTCATGGAATTTCGGACCCAATTCGAAGGATTTCTTCGTATCAAATACGTTAGCGCCCACACTCTGTACGCCGTTGTTGAAGAGAGTCGCATGTGCTGACTTAGTGAGTGTGTCACTAAAACCGGGTATAGTCTCTTTGGCTATGGATAAACCATGACCGCCGGCATTCTCGAAAGTCAACGAACCACCTTTTTTCTGAAACTCAAAACCATTCGCCAATTTAGTATCCGTCTGGAAGATTGCACCGCCCAATTGATTATTATCGTTTATTAAAACATTAGCGGTAGCTTTCTTAGTTAAAGCATCACTAAAGCCGGGCGTATGTTCTTAAGTTACGGAAGCGCCCAGACCCATGCTGTAAAGGAGGTAGGAAAGAATCAATTATGTGGAAGCTTAAAGTATTAACACTTGTAACTTACAGATTTGCGCCCACTGTGCCGCTCGTGGTGACCGGTCCGCCTTTCGTATTACCAGCTGCGCCCACAGTACCATATACATTGGCATTCGGTGCGCCAATGACCTTGCCAGCCTCCAACTTAACATCTTGTCCACCATTTGGATTGCTGGTAATAGTGCCGCCCGTAGCCACATGGCGACTCACACGTATTGGACGTGGTGGTGGTTGTGGTCGAACTGTTGGTGGATTCGGCCAACGTCCTGGCGCTGCACTGACGCAGGCCAAAGTTGCCAAGGCGACGACGAGGGCAGTGTAGAGTTGAAGTCTCATATTTTAATTGTAGCAGACACTTTTAAGAATTTCTTAAGCTGATTCGATATTCACTTCTCGTTTGCTTTTTGTGTTCTGTGTGTGCTGTGAGAACTCGCAGCGGTTTTTATTATAAGCCCATCACTTTCTTATCTGCCAAAACGGGTATTCACTGATCTCTTTTCTATTCTATTTTTGATAATTACCACTTTTATTTATTGGGACTCCCTACAGATAAACAATTGAAAAGTTTTTAAACTGTTGCAACGCGAATCAAGCCAAGACGGTCCAGCTGGCAGCTCAGCGTCGGGAATCCCAACAATCAGCTTTCGATTTCATTTCCTCGTTAAATATGTGCGAATATATGTCGTATTACTATAAGCACGTACACAACAGGGTGATTTTGCAGGGTACTTTTACGCTTTCCTAAACCTTAAAGGCTTAAATATAATATATACGTGTACATGTATTCAAAATTGATAAGCGATTAGCTCTTGCTTAATGTATCATAACATAAATTCACAGTGATAGTCAAACTGTACTTTTCGTAACTTTTGATGTATACTTTGAGGCGTAGGTAGAACTTGAATTGGAATGAGAAAGTAAAATAATATAAAAGGAAATTATTTCAAATAAAAATAAAATGAAATAAAAATTGAATAAAAGAAGAAACAGAAAACTAAATTAAAAACCATACAAATTCAATTAAATTGAGTCGACATGCAAATTAAAATAAATGAAAAAAAATAAAATAACATGAAATAAAATAAAATAAAATAAAATAATATGAAATATAATAAAATAATATAAATTAAAATAAAATAAAATAAAATAAAATAAAATAAAATAAAATAAAATAAAATAAAATAAAATAAAATAAAATAAAATAAAACAAAACAAAATAAAATTATATTAAACTAAAAAAAGTGAAATAAAAAAATTTAAAAAATATCGTTCAAAAAAATAAAATAAATAAAAACTGATTAAATTATGTCTTAATAAAAGCCAACTCTTTTTTCGTGTATTTTTTTTTATTCTTTGTTTAAAAATATTTTTAATAAATATACTATTATTTCTTATAAGGTTAGATTAGATATAAAGGATAAATACTTTTATATTCGTATTAAGTTAAATATATATTTATATAATATATATATCTTATCAAAACTCCTTTCCTTCACATAACTTAACGCTTATTACCAAAGTTATGCGATAGTCCAAGACCAGTATTGAAATCATTTTTACCACTCATCGGTCCACTCAGCCAACGGGAGCCGCCAGCATTTAAATTCAAGTTCGTTTGACGATCAGCTGAGCTGAAGAGATTCGCGCTACCACCAACATTCATTTTCGTGCCGAAATCATGCACTTTCGAAACACCCAAACTCGCCGCATGACCACCGGCATGAGCCCAATTCACATTACCGCCAGTTTCATGGAATTTCGGACCGAAATCAAACGATTTCTTCGTATCAAATACACTAGCGCCCAGACTATGTGTGCCATTGTTGAATGGCGTGACATGCGCAGACTTCGTTACTGAGTTACTAAAACCGGGTATGGTCTCCCTGGCAATAGCGGCACCATGACCGCCAGCATGCTCAAAAGCCAACGAACCACCTTTCTTCTGAAACTCAAAACCGTTCGCCAATTTTGTGTCCGTTTGGAAAACATTACCACTCAAACGGTTTTTATCATTAATCATAACATTAGCATTAGCTTGCTTTGTGAGCGAATCACTTATGCCGGGTGTACGTTCTTTGGTCATGGAGGCGCTCAGACCTTTACTGTGGGAGATACAAAATAATCCATTACTTTCAAATGTCTAAATGGAAATCTCAAGCGCACGCAACTCACACATTCGCCTCCAATGTAGCACTCGTGGTGACCGGTCCACCTTTCGTATTGCCCAAAGCACCCACACTGCCAGCTACATTGGCATCTCGTGTGCCCACACCTTTAGCGAGCTCCACTTTGACATCGTGACCACCGTTGGGGTTTGTGGCTACAGTGCCGCCAGCGATCATATTTGAACTCATATTTTTTCGGTTGTTTTTTTTTTTTTTGTACTGAGGAGAATAAATAAATTTTAAAAATTTTCTTTGAAAAATGTGCTTGCGATGTTCACGCTTCAATTGCTGTCTGATTTGTGCTGCCGCAGCTCATGACCTCAGTGGCTTTTATTCTGTATTCTTAGCGCTTGCGCTAGTCACTTAGTCATGCCCCCCTGCACGGGTATTCACATGTGTCTAATAAAAGCGTTTGTTGTTGTTATTATTATTGTTGTTGCTCCAGCTACTTCAACTACATCAGTCGGGTCCGATAAGACAGTTTTATTTTAATTGATAAAACTTAATTTATAAATAAATTTGCAGGCTTCCCTGATCCAGATTTTTTTCTTCTTCTTTTTCTTCCTATTTCTCTTCATCTTCACCTTCTTTAAACATTTACTTCACGTTAGTTATTCGTTATTCTTTTATTGTTTATCAAGACTTATTGCACTTGGGGTTCCTGCGATTCCGCGAAGTATGGCTTTGAGGTAATCTTTTATTTGTTTGCACGTAAATTTTTATCATTTTTCGTCGAGAAGTTGAGGAAGTGCATTTTTATTTTTTTTCTTTTATTTTTTTTCATTTACTTTTTTTTTAATAAATTTCTTAGTTAGAAAATGCACTGAGAGCTTTCATCTACTGCAACTTGAACGTGTCAAAGCTTTGATTTTTCACAGAAACTTAGCGACTCTTACTGAGTATTCTTGAAGAGGATTCCAGATCTCGAACCTCGGAGCACGGATAGGCTCAACTAACGTAGATTTCAGACAGTCTTTCTCTGGCTACTTGCGGACGGACCTCCTGTCGATGGTGTTTTGAGCTTATAATTTCGCTCAGACCTCTCTGGTGTGCAAAGTGAGTTCGTCGAAGTAAAGAAAAAGAAAAATAAATGGAAAAATAATGTGGTCCCGCTACTCAAATCTGTGAAACCAGCCAATAACGAAGAGTCATATCATTCCTCAGTAGCGAAGACTACTAAATTCTTGCTGCTACCGACCTTTACACACCATCTGAGTTCAGCCGCCTATCAGCATGGCTTCCGTAAAGTGCGCGGCACCACAACTGTACTTTTTATCGTCATAAACACTCATATAATCCCTAGTCCCCAACCAAAAACAAGTCCTGTGCGCACACTGTCCTAGTAGCCCAAAAGCTTTTCATATGATCAACCATTCTGTGCTAATATCGGACATTGAGGAATCCTCATAACCATCTGTGTTGACCATGATCTATCTGAGTGATCGTCAATCAGCAGTAGAAATTCGAGGTCAAACATTGAAACTCAGTAAGATTAACCGAGGGATCCCGCAGTAAGATGTTCTCTTCCACTGTTTTTTAAATTTTATGTTTCGAAACACTCTTCACTGATCTCATATGTCGTTGATTGTTCGTCTGACCAAGATATTGATGACTTATGTTCGAAAGTGTACTGTTATCTCGAACCCAGAGCTTGGTGCGCAGAAAATGTGTATCCTACTTACTTATTGAAAGGCTATTAGTTCTTCCAATACTTTACTTTTCTTTTAGCAACAACTGCTCGAGAGTGAGTGCCTAGTGCTCCGAGCCGAATTACGAGATCCCAACTTTATAGACATCTTTCTCAGTGAGCTGTTATCAAATCAACACCGGACCGCATTAGCCGGATAGATTTCATTGTGGGCTGCCATGTGGAGAGTCATGGCTTTGAATCTTGCGCGGAGCTGTCGGCCTCTCATCTTAAAAGTCCATCCGCATGAGGTACTACCATTTGTTGGAAAAAAAATCAAAGTTCACCCTTGAAGCCACCTTCGGCGGACCTCTTTCTCCAGTTTGGAGTATGCGTTTTGCTGTTTTTCCAACAAATGGAGCAATCTACAGTTTATTTTAAGACGCCTCCGAGTGGCCGATAGGTTTTTATGAGTAACTTTTATTTCATGTCAGAAATATTCTCGGAGCGCTTGACATTTCCCACCGAGAGGCGACCGCAACTAGAAAAAGTTCTATAGTTTTGAATGTTGATCGAGCCGCTTAAGCAGTTATTAAACGTCAGAAGCTCAAATGGACACAGGGATTAATCACCACTACTCCTTCTGCGTAAGTTAAAGAGTCTATGGTCATCTTGAATCTACTGCTCCCGAAGTGGATTCCCTTAAGGTCTCCAATTGAATGTGTTGAGCTTATACTTCCTGGCAACGATTGAGAGCCGGGTCTCTGAAACCCCCTCATAATAAGAAATAATTTGTATTTTTTGTTTTTATTCATTTATATAATAATAATTTTTTCTTAACTAAAAGTACCTTTTTAACCCAGTTATGTAATAGAGAAATAAAATAAATATTTAAAAATATACAAGCATACATAGTTACTCTCCTTCAACCCAATACTTCCAATTAACCCCAGTTTCTGAAGGAGTGGGAAAGTCCAAATCCAGCGTTGAAGTCATTTTTACCACTCATCGGACCCTTGAGCCAACGTGAGCCGCCAGCATTAAAATCAAATTTCGTTTGACGATCAGCCGAGGTGAAGAGATTCGAAGTGCCACCCACATTGAGTTTCGTGCCAAAATCATGCACCTTCGATAAACCTAAACTCGCCGCATGACCACCAGAATGAGCCCAATTCAGATTACCACCTGTCTCGTGGAATTTCGGACCAAAATCGAATGATTTTTTTGTATCAAATACACTTGCACCCACGGCGTGTGGACCACTATTGAAGAATGTTGCGTGAGCAGATTTCGTTAGGCTGTTACTATAACCGGGTATCGTCTCTTTAGCAATGGATATACCATGTCCACCAGCATTGTTTAGTGCCAAGGAACCGCCATTTTTCTCAAACTCAAAACCATTCGATAGTTTAGTATTAGACTTAAAGATGGAGCCATCCAAACGATTATTGTCATTCAAGAAGACACTGGCGCTACCACTCTTTGTGAGCGTACTGCCAACACCGGGTGTGTGCTCTTTGGTAACAGCGGCGCCGAGTCCTTTGCTGTGGGTGAAAAATGTGTTTAGTTACTAGAAAAGATGAATAAGTTCCCTTAACAATAACTTACAGATTCGCCGCCAGCGAGGCGCTTGTGGTAATTGGTCCACCTTTAGTATTACCCACCGCACCGGCACTTGCAATCAGATTGGCATCGGGTGTGCCCACACCTTTTGCGATCTCCAACTTAACATCATGTCCTCCAGCTGGATTTGTGGCAACACCACCGCCGGTGGCAACATTGCGTCGTACACGTATTGGACGTGGTGGTGGTTGTGGTCTTACTGTTGGAGGATTCGACCAACGTCCTGGCGCTGCAGCGGCACAGGCGAAAATGGCAATGAGCAGAGCCAAAAGAGTAAATAATTTGAGTTTCATTTTTGTTTTGAATGCACCAAACTTTGTTAGGATTTTCTGGATAGAAATTTCACTGGCGAATATTCACTTTGCGGCTTCGGTTTGCTTTGTGATGCAGCTTCTCGTTACCTATGTGGCTTTTATTGATCAGTGCAGCTTGTCGGCGGCTAGCGTTATCACCAACACGGGTATTTACATGCATCAAATAAATATAGTTGTTGTTATTATTGTTGTTGTTTGTGGGATTTTCAGTGATAAGAAACTTTGCCATACTTTCGTGAGATTTTTTTTATATTTTTTTTTTCTTCTTAAATTGCTTTTTGGCTTCAGATATTTATGACAATCCGGGGATTCCCGTTATCTTCTCCTTTAAAATTGAGAAATTCTTTACAGAATTCTTGATTAATTGTTTGCTAAAAATATATCTCTGTACTTGACATCCAGGGAAGCCCATTTTACATTGGCATATGTAGGTATGTGTATCTAAGTTTCTTTATATATTTTCTTAGTTTTGACTATGAGACTTCCCAATATGTAATAAGCAACAGTTCATTGAACAAACCCAATACGTCTTTTCTGCTTTTAGCTCTAGAGATCTTGTCCTAGGACAGGAGGACCATTAAAATAAAACACAAAAGTCGGGCTCTAAAACTTTTTCGTTCGGGATGTCTAGAAGGGATACGTCAACCAGGGAATTCTATTAAGACTGGTACCTTTCTCTTTCTCACTCTTTTTCTCACTCTTGCCCTCTCTCTCTTTCACTCTCCTTCTCTCTCTTTCTCTCTCTTTCGCTCTCTTTCGCTCTCTTCCGCTCTCTTTCGCTTGCTTTCACCTAATTTTTGTCTCTCTCTCTCATTGCTTCACACTTTCCTGTCTCTCTCTTTCTTTCTTTCCTTTTCTTTTTTTCTTTCTCTCTTCTCTCTTTCCTTATGTCTTTCTCTCTCTCTCTCTGTATATATATCTTTCTCTCTCTGTATCTCACTCTTTAATTTTTACTATTTCCCTTTATTATTTCTCTCTTATTTTCTCCCTTCTTTCTCTCTCTCTCTCTAGGTATTTCTATTTTCTCTCTTTCTTCCACTCTCTCTATCTATCTCTTTCTCTTTTTCTTTTTTCTCTTTCTTTCACTCTCACAACCTATCTCTTTCTGTTTTTCTCTCTTTCTTGCACTCTCTCTATCTATCTCTTTCTATTTTTCTCTCTTTCTTTCACTTTCGTTCCCTGTCCCAGATTATATTGGTCACACGTGGGACATCATCACCCCATATTAATGTAACCAAAATTCATGGCCTTCACCGATAAACTCGCTTAGCTGGTCAGTCAAAAATTGCTTAGCCACGGTTTGACCAACAATGTTCTATAGAAAGTGAAGCTGCTGGAGAAATCTTGTACTTGGTTCAAGCAACTCACGGCTATACAACTTCGCCTTATATAACTTCGGAAGCTCACACAAAATCGTTTGTGGTCGAATCAAAAAAAAACAATAATTGTGTGAGTTAAGCCCACCAGACCCATCATATAAAAAAAAAACAACTTCAACGAAAAAGATTGGCAACAAGCCCAGCATGAGTAACTCCATACTTGATGATAACTATCGAGGAACCTTCAAGACAGTTATTAGAAGCTGAACCATCAACCAGGCAAATCAGAAAGGGAGAACTTGACCTAAAAGACTGCTAATCACCACCTTCAACACAGGATGTCATATCGACAGGCATTAAACACCTTTCAAGGAGAGTCCGCCAATACTTTTATGAACTCTTCTCCTGTGAATGGCGTTTTCGGAATCAAACCACCACCCATTGCAAACGAGGAGCCCGAGCTGCCTCGAGAATCCCGCGTAATACTGACTTAGACTGATTTAGATTGCTCCTAAACGGGTTTGGTAAACAGTACCAGTAAGACTCTTAAAGCAAGTACAGACACCTCATGTTCACTTTACTGGAATCTTGGCACGAAATAAAGCTTCCAGTGGAAATTTTTCCCCACCTAATCTTGTCACCGGAGTGGAGGTCTTCATCTAAAGTTATGACTATCCATCGTAAAGTGGAAGCCAAGACGGGAGGGCACTGCCTGCCTGTGTGCGGGCAAACCGGATTCAGACATAGCGGCAAAGAGGCAGCTTCTTACTGGCAACAACAAGGCTTTTTAAATGGGTATTTTGCAAAATTTGCCTGATAAATGATGGGTTTATCAGGCCTAAAGACCCACTGTTAGGGTCCAATCAGTTTGTTGACGGTAGATTTTAGGATTGCAAGCAACCACCCTGTGACGATTGGCGCAGATTATGAGGTTCCCCTCCGGTTTGTAAGCGGGCAATCACCATTCGTACTTTATCATAGGCGGGTGATGATCTATGCAATCATCTTTGATTGGGTCTACGAGTTGGCCGTAGGATGCTGCAATGTTCCCTCCGTAAAATCGATATACCCAGAACGTTGAGTCACCCGAAGCGCTGTAAGCCATCTCCTCAAGTTCTTCATACTCAGGCATTTTAGCCTGTCTGTCCACAATTTAAGGGACTTGTGTCCTTCCCTTTTTTCTTTCTTTCTACGATATATTTCATTAGAATACGGTAAACGAACTCCTCACAAATAACGATAAAAAATGCATGGTTTGCACTGATTTTATTTATTTATTTAGATTCCTTAACTGTAAATAAATACATCACATTCGTTCTCTCTACACAAAATTTGCTTAAACATTGAAATAAATAATTACATGGAAGTACAGTTTTCAAATTCAGTCCCTTAGCCCCAGTTTCTGAAAGAGTGGGAAAGTCCAAAACCAGCGTTGAAGTCATTTTTGCCACTCATCGGACCATTGAGCCAACGTGAGCCGCCAGCATTAAAATCAAATTTCGTTTGACGATCAGCCGAGGTGAAGAGATTCGAAGTGCCACCCACATTGAGTTTCGCGCCAAAATCATGCACCTTCGATAAACCTAAGCTCGCCGCATGACCACCAGAATGAGCCCAATTGAGATTACCACCTGTCTCGTGGAATTTCGGACCAAAATCGAATGATTTTTTTGTATCAAATACACTCGCACCCACGGCGTGTGGACCACTATTGAAGAATGTTGCGTGAGCAGATTTCGTTATGCTGTCACTATAACCGGGTATCGTCTCTTTAGCAATGGATATACCATGTCCACCAGCATTGTTTAGAGCCAACGAACCACCATTTTTCTCAAACTCAAAACCATTCGATAGTTTAGTATTAGACTTAAAGATGGAGCCATCCAAACGATTATTGTCATTCAAGAAGACACTGGCGCTACCACTCTTTGTGAGCGTACTGCCAACACCGGGTGTGTGCTCTTTGGTAACAGCGGCGCCGAGTCCTTTGCTGTGGGTGAAAAATGTGTTTAGTTACTAGAAAAGATGAATAAGTTCCCTTAACAATAACTTACAGATTCGCCGCCAGCGAGGCGCTTGTGGTAATTGGTCCACCTTTAGTATTACCCACCGCACCGGCACTTGCAATCAGATTGGCATCGGGTGTGCCCACACCTTTTGCGATCTCCAACTTAACATCATGTCCTCCAGCTGGATTTGTGGCAACACCACTGCCGGTGGCAACATTGCGTCGTACACGTATTGGACGTGATGGTGGTTGTGGTCTTACTGTTGGAGGATTTGACCAACGTCCTGGCGCTGCAGCGGCACAGGCGAAAATGGCAATGAGCAGAGCCAAAAGAGTAAATAATTTAAGTTTCATTTTCTTCTATTCTGAATGTTGTTCGTGTTTTTCGTTATGTACTTGTCGACTGCTGTGTTAATTGTGATGCTGTTGTTGATAATTTCAGCTGCTTTTATTGTTATTTCAAGCCAGTTGATGCTTAGTCTTATCTTTAACACGGGAATTCACAAGCGCTTTACAAACATTAAGCTTCTTTCTTTTGGTGTTATTGCTACCTAAGTTTTGTGAGCTGATAAGGGTTTCGTGTTTTCATTCACAAAAAGCAATAAATCGGAAGCTTGCGGGTATTTTTTTTTTAATTTTTGATTTATTATTTTTTTATGTCTTGGTTTAACATCTGTTATATGTACATATGGAAGTGGATTCCCCTCATGATTTTGAGCAGCATGCTCGCTTGACCTGGTTCAATAGATCTATACAACGCAACATTTGTTATTAGTGATTCATGACTATGGTAGTGAAAAAATGAGTATTCTACATCCAACGAACGCAAATGAGAGGAATTTTAACAATGGGGACTTTTGACAAGAATATTCAAAAGCCTGCCTAGCTAAATTTGTATATGGGGGATACCCTAAAGAGTACAGTTGGCTAAAAATAGGTTCTCGTTTAAGTAAATTAAATAATTAAATGCTTCGTATAGGTCACAAACTATATACTCACTCAGATTTGGCTATTTGAAATTTCCAACCTCATTGGTTCTACCCCGTATAGTTCACGAACTATATCCTACTTCCGTTTTAGCCAACCATCTATACCATGTGAAAAAGAGTTTCATAATCTTCATACAATTCATGAACATATATCCCACTTCTGATTTTGTCAGCCATCCATCAAATAATATAAGTACATACATATATGGTATATACAAGTCTATGTACATTAAAAAGTGTTTCTAATAATGATCACTCTCCAATTACTCGAGAAGCTTTAGTTCACCTACTTTCTTTAGTATACCAAAAAAAATTTCTCATTCTTAGAAAACTATAAATAAGAAGATATTTTTCAATGACGTTTTTTGGGCAAATATATTTTATACTAAAAAAAATTTAAACAAATTACAAAGTACTCAATTTGACAATCACATTTCGCTCGAATCACAAATGCTACGATTCAACCATTCTACCAGCGTATCACGAGTGCACTCATTTTGCTCATTCAAGCATTCGATCGACATTAAATCCGATATGCAACTCTGCAGGATATAAGCTTTTATACAATGCATTGCAGAGAGAAGGCGAAGACACTGTAAATAAATGAAACATTAGTTATAAAAATCGCTAATAATTAGTTAAGTGGGATTTGAAGAAAGCAGTTATTCGATTTCCGGACGAGCTTCTCTCCGAAAAATAGGTATACTCGTATGTATATAGCCTTTCAAGCCGCATCTGTGCTGGATTATTCATGAGAATTTTTATGTGTTATTAAACATCACTTCGCCGATGTCAGAAATACACCCGGAGAGCTTGACTATCAGACTTGTTTTTTTTTTTAATTTGAAATGTTGGTCGAACCAGAACTCGAACTTTGATCTTTAGAATGGCAGTAGGAAATGCTAACCACTCGACTATTGCAGCCGATATAACCTCTACTTTTTTAAACATCTCATAACTCAACCACCTATCTTAGCTAATATTGCATATTTCAACCGCTTTCTCATCCCACACTTAAGCTTACCTCCAGGCATTCCAATTGCAAATTTTTATTCTCACACTTTGCTAACAGGATAATACGATTGGGTAGATCGGTAAACTCACGGGAACGCCACAAAGCGCGATTGCTGATTAGACCATTTTGCAAGGCGAGCACTACATACTCATAGTTGTTCAACTTATTTTTCTCATCCCCTACTATGTCATACAGCATTTTTACACCATCAATCTTATCGAAACGCAATTGACCCTCTTCGCAACGTAAAAGCATGGCAAAACATTTCATGCAAAGCTCATGATACGAGAGTGTCTTATACTTTATGCGTTCGTGTAATAACTCAAAGAAACCAAGATTTATGCCCAATTCAGGCGCTACCTCCAAGAAATGACAAAGATGCTCCCACAGCGGATTCGGATAAAAGGGCGCACATGGATCGTGGGTAAATATAATTGCCAATTTACGAAAAGACGGTGTTTCATTGAGGAGATATAAAAGTACTGGAGGATGATATGAAGCTTAATAAAAATGGCAATTAGAAGACTACAATAAAGTACTTACTCTCTGTTTTCTCCGTCAAGTTACGTAATATCTTACAAGCCGTTAAATGTGTGCTCTGCCGATTATAGATAATCGCATATAATTCGCTAATGAAATGTGAACGTGACACAATTTCGTGGGCACCATTGAGATAGCGTGAAATTAGGTCTACGAAAGTACGCTGTTAAGAAGCGGTAACAAATCATAATAAGTTCATATTTACAAAATATCTTCATCAATTGTCTACGTTCGTGATAGTACTCCTTGTGGAAACCATACTGTATGCGCATAAACATATTCTTACATCTAAAAAGAAAGAAATTTGTGATAGCCTTCCAAAATTTGTTTAACGCATAATCTTCCTCACTTTCGGAACACATCAAACTTTGTGATCGCCAATTGGGCTTGCCATGGATTGAGCAAGACTTCGGAGAGTGAATTAATACTTTGCCACTTGAGCAACGGATCATCACAACACATGTCACGTGCTAGTTTCTCAACACATTGAAAACCATATGCCAACGCCGCGTGATCTCGGAAATATGTTGAGCTCTCACATTTGTTATCGTATGGACATTTACAACTACAACGTTTTGATTGCACTTTCCGGTATTCGGTGTTCACCAAACTGTTTATTGTTTCCTTTTTCATATGCTTCACTTCAAGTTGAAGAAAATGATTCTTATAACTGGCCAATTCTTCCCACATATTTTCTCCCCCCGGCACTCTAATCAGCACTATGGTACAAAAATTGCTTTTGTCTTTTAAGCGAAATCTTTGCAAAAAAACAAAATAAAATAAATTTAGGCACAATTTAGTAATTTCTTTGACTTATTTTGCCAATTTTCCTGTGAAATGATTGAAAAGTCAAACGACAGAAATATTTCAGGCAATTTTTCATGGCATTAAAGCCAGAGCTAATAAATATTACGAAGGAAACAATAACATATCGCACATATGTATGCATACTTACATATGTACGGATAACTTGTATTTATCAAAAAGTCGCTCATTTCCCCTCTTATTCATTACATATACGAAATTTCACAAACTTTAAATTATAAGCAAAATTGGAATTTGCAAAAACGGGAGCAAATAGCGGAAAGCGGATATTCGCCGGTAGTGTTCGCCAGTGCTGCCACTAGCTAGGAAACCTAGTACAGAGTATAGACTATTCAACCATAAAACAAAACAAAATAAAATTAAAATAATTTTAAAATTCAAAAGATTAAATAAAGTTATGAAAATATTATAAATAAAACAAGATAAAAAAATGAATAAATAAGAAATATAAAATAGAATCCAGTGAAATTGAGTATAAAATAAATAAAAATATTATTAAAATTAAGTAAACAGAGAAGATAGAGACATTAACACAAAACAAACAAAATTAATTTAAAAATAATAATAAATAATAAAATAAAATAATAAAAAAGTATAAAAAATAAATTAAAATAAATAAGTAAAATAAAAAAATTAAATGAAATAATTTAATTAAAATAAAAGAAATACATTAAAAGAAAATAGAGTAAAAGTATGAAGCTAAAATAAAATGAAATGAATTAAGTAAAAAAAAATATAAAAATTTGAATTAAATTAAATAAATGACATAAAAAAAAAATAAAAAAGTAAAAACATTAAATCAATAAAATTATAAAAATGAAATAAAACAAATTAAAGATAATTAAAATAAAACAGAAGAAAATTCAAGAAATTTAAATTAAATTTGGTAACAAAAAACAAACTAAAATAAAATAAAATCAATTGAGATATAATGAAACAAACTAAAACAAATAAAATAGGATAAAAGAAAATATAATGATATGCAATAAAATTTAATCATATTAATTAAAAAATAACACTAAATAAATAAAAAAAATAATTTAACAGAATAAAATAAAATATCTTTTTCATAGATATAAATGAAATAAAATATAACTATTTTAATAAAAATAAAATTAAAATAGATAAAATAAAATAAATTAAGCAAAACAAATAAAATAAAGTAAACTAAAATGAAAAAAACGTAAAATAAAATTAAAAAAATTATAAATAAAACAAAATAAATTCAACAAGATAAATTTAAAAAAAAACTCATTTTATAGACATAGATGAAATAAAATGTAATTATTTTAATAAAAATTAATCTAAGATAAATTAAACAAAATGAAATAAATTAAGCAAAACAAATAAAAAAGAATAAAAAAATGAAAAAAAAACGTGAAACAAAATTAAAAAAAAATTATAAATAAAACAAAATAAATTCAACAAACCATATTAGAAAAAAATAAAAATCATTTTATAGATATAGATGAAATAAAATGTAATTAACTTAATAAAAATAAATTAAACAAAATAAATTAAAATAAACTAAACAAAATAAAATAGAGTAAAATAAATTAAAGTTAAATAAAATTAAAAAAAATAATAATAAATATAATAAAATTAAATATAATAACATAAAACAGGATAGCAACAAATTGAAATAAAATAATATGAAATTAAATTTAATCCTAATAATAATAATAATTAAAATAAAATAAAATATATTAAACAAAACAAATTAGATAAGGTAAAATAATATTAAAAAACTTAAATAAAATTAAAAATGTAAAAAATAAAACGAAATAAAATTTAAAAAAATAAAATAAGAAATAAAAATTTAATAAATAAATATACGTTAAAATAAAATAATAAAAAAATAAAGAAAATTCAAGGAAACAAATAAAATATAATAATATAAAACAAGATAACAACAATTTAAAATAAAATAATATGAAATAAAATTATGATTAATTTCCAATTAAAATAAAATAAAATAAATTAAACAAAACTAATAAAATAGCGTAAAATAATATAAAAAAGCGTTAAATAAAATTAAAAATGTAATAAATAAAACGAAATAAAATTTAAAAAAATAAAATAAGAAAAAAAAATTAAATAAATAAATATACGTTAAAATAAAATAATAAAAAAATAAAGAAAATTCAAGGAAACAAATAAAATATAATAATATAAAACAAGATAACAGCAGTTTAAAATAAAATAATATACGTTAAATAATATGAAATAAAATTATGATAAATTTTTAATTAAAATAAAATAAAATATATTCAACAAAACAAATAAAATAGAGTAAAATTATATAATAAAAGGTTAAATAAATTAAAAAAGTAATAAATAAAACAAAATAATATGTAATAAAATAAAATAAAATAAGATAACAAAAAATTGAAAAAAAATAATATACGTTAAAATAAAATAATATGAAACAAAATTTAATCATATTAGATAAAATAAAATAAATTAAACAAAACAAATAAAATAGAGTAAAATAATATAAAAAATCGTTAAACAAATTTAAAAAAGTAATAAATAAAACAAAATAAAATATAAAAAAATTAAATAAGGAAAAAAAATCAATAAAGAAATATACGTTAAAATAATATAATAAAACAAAAATAAAATAAATTCAAGAAAAAAAAATAAAATATAATAAAATAAAACAAGATAACAACAATTTAAAATAAAAAATATACGTTAAGATGAAATAATATGAAATAAAATTATGATTAATTTTTAATTAAACTAAAATAAAATATATTAAACAAAACAAATAAAATAGAGTAAAATAATATAAAAAAAGGTTAAATAAAATTAAAAAAGTAATAAATAAAACAAAATAATATGTAATAAAATAAAATAAAATAAGATAACAAAAAATTGAAAAAAATAATATACGTTAAAATAAAATAATATGAAACAAAATTTAATCATATTAGTTAAAATAAAATAAAATAAATTAAACAAAACAAATAAAAAAGAGTAAAATAATATAAAAAATCGTTAAACAAATTTAAAAAAGTAATAAATAAAACAAAATAAAATATAACAAAATTAAATAAGATAACGAAAAATTGAAATTAAATAATATACGTTAAAACAAAACAATATGAAATAAGATTTAATCATATTAGTTAAAATAAAATAAATTAAACAAAATAAATAAAATAGTGTAAAATAAATTAAAGCTAAATAAATTAAAAAAAAAACAATAAATAAAATATAATTAAATGACACAAGATAACAAAAAATGTTATAAAATAATATACCAAAACTAAAATAATATCAAATAAAATTTAATCATATTAATCAAAATAGAAAAAAATAATGTTAAATAAAGTACAACATAGTAAAATAAAGTGGATTAAGTACACCTCTGTGCAACTAAAGTGTTATTTTCTACAGATTACTGCCGCAAAATATCAACCCCGTGTAATGAAGAGAAAATTCAAAACCGGCTTTCACGGCGCTCTTTCATATGCCGCGCGCTCTTTATTTTTACACCAATTTGCAGCCGGTGAAAAGGCAGTGAAAGAAGCAAACTTAATTTCAGTACATTTTTAACTTGTACAAAGACGAGTTGGGTGAATTTAGGGTGTAACCGAAGTGTTTATTAAAATTAAAATAATTCAAAAACAAATTTCCAATACGACTTTATCTGTGTGCTAACAAATTTATGTTGAGTAGTTGACAGTAAGAAAAATAAATTCACTTAAAGTAAACATTTTTAAGTAAACAAATTGTTTGTGTTTTTAAACAAAATTTATTTTCGAACTGGCAAATTTATAAATCCGCTGTAAAATCTATGACGACATGGAATAAATGCAAATTCTATAAACAAATCAAACGGAAATTGACTTGCGAACGAGTAAAGCAGAATGTAAATACACACTGAAAGCCGCGTAAAGAAAACGTCAAACAAAAATATCAAATAATTACTAGATGTATGAAAACAAAAGTTGATAGAAAAACAAAAAAAGAAAAAACAAAAAATCAACACAGAAAGAATACGCTCGGTTTGAAAATAACAACAAAAAAGGAAATTAGTGACAAACAACAACAGCAACGCAACAAGCATTTCTGCCTAGGTACGTAACTAAATGACAGCAACAAAAGCTACATACGTGCTTATGTCCAAATGTATGTATGTATGTGCGTGACTACGAGTACAGAGCAATAACCGCTGCAAAGTAACGACGAATCAACGAATTTGTGGGTGGCTAGTAAACTGCAAACAAACCAAAACAAAATAATAAGCCGGCTAAGGCGGACTAAAGGAAATGCACAGCTGCATACGCGTACTCCTCACTGGAAAGGATACTTAGAAACCACTGCCAAAATCATTACTCTCTTCACTTTTTATTTTTCTTTTTTGTTACACCTGTAAAGTTAGTCCGCCGAGCAATTACAGGAAAGTGCTTGCATTACGTATCGCACTGTCTGCTCAATTGGATGCAACAACGTTAAGGACAACGAACTCTAAATTGGATTTTATTGAACGAGTACATACATACATAAACAGCATAAATTGAAATGGCGCTAATAAAATTGGCTAGGTGAGTAGTAATAAATTGAATTATCCGAAATAACGCTAAAGACGTACTTAGTAGATAAGAGCGAGAAAAATATATATGTATGTGTATGTGTATATGGGTGTATATATTATTGTGTTTTATAAATGTGTGTATATGTAAAGCGCCTGTTATTGTCAGCTGATGGCTTGCCGGTGAAGTCGTTAAGTATCTGCAACTAGCAGCTTCACACGTGAGATATGTAGATGTACAGCAAAGGTCATTAAATTAGAAACCAATAAGAATTAGTAGTAAAGTTCTACAATTTCTCACGGAGAGTTGACACTAGCTGGAAGTTTGAAGCTAGAATCAAGCTTGTTTTTGATGTTGTTTTAGCGGCTAACTACCCCCGCTTAAGGACAGGCTAGTTAATCTAAGTCACCGAGGTCATCTAACCCCTGCGGGTTAGGGGCTCTAGAATTTACCCGAGGTAAGGCATGCCTGTTGTAAGAGGCGACTAAAATCCAATAGTTCCCGCGACAGTCGGGTCTTTATACCGGAACGACCCGGATTTTTATCCGGCCAAGGACTGTCACTCCCGCAACATTCCCCAAAAAGTACCTTAGGGAATAATTTTGCGGTTACAACAACAACAACAACCGAGGTCATCTAACTAGAGATCCAGCAAATGAGCTGTTTCGACGGGTTCGAACCAAAGGAAGAGGGTTGGTAGATGCGTCGGTTTCAGGGGGCATGTAAAGAAGTGGTTAGTACCGTTCGGAAACTCTCTACATGCAGGGCATACGTTGAGTACGTTGGGGTCGAGTTTGAATTGGTAGGAGTTTATCCTGCTACAGCATCCATACTTAATTTGTGCCAGTATTACGCGGGTATCTCGAGGCAGCTTGAACTCTTCGTCCGCCATTCACAGACAGGAAGGCTTTGAAGATGTTGACTGACGCCTGGTGAATGGCATTCAGTGTCTGTCTGCACGACGTTGTTGTTGTTGTTGTGACCGCAAAAATTATCCCAAAATTACTTTTTGGTGAAAGTTGTGGTTGTAACAGTCCTTGGCCGGATAAAAATCCGGGTCGTCTCGGTATAAAGACCCGACTGTCGCGGGCACTATTGGATTTTGGTCGCCTCTTACGACAGGCATGTCTAACCGCGGGTAAATTCTTGGACCCCTAACCAGCACGCCGTTCTGTACAACGGTTTTTGTACATGTTGCTGGATGGTTTCCTTTAAGTCTGGTACTTCCTTTCCGTTGTGCCTGGATGGAGGCTCAGCCACAATAAGATGCCTATTGGGGTAATCAAGCTTGTAATAGATTGGACTATATGTGGACCTCGCGCATTCTTCCTGTTTCTTTGAAAACTATGCACTATGTCCACAAAATTAACACAAAGGCTACTTGGAATTTCATAGATTTAAATTCCCTTTGACAAAACCAAACCAGAAAGATTTCATTGAAATAAAAATTTTCCTACGAAAACATTTTACAAATCTCTAGAAAAATTTCATCTCCAACAATCTATCCACCGGTGTAAAAAAAAAAAATGTGCACAATTTCTTATATGATTTTTCCCCCGAATATAAATATATGTATGTAACGTACATACATACAAATGTACGCTCGTTAAACGTGACTGCCGGCACATGCAACACCATACGAAAGCAAGGAAAGGCAATAGCTGTGATTTACCACCATCACCACCACCACCATCATCAGCTGACCGACCGAGCTACTAACCAAACGAAGCCGGTCGCTCTCTTTCAGTTCTTCCTCTGTTTTGCTTTGCAGTACTTTCTTTGTTTGATTTGTTGGTCTTCAGCGTATTTGTTGTGTTGTATTTTATTTATTTATTTTTATTGTTTTTTTTTTTTGGGCGAGGCTTATAGTCTGTCTGGCGATTTGGTTTTACTCTCGTTTAACATGAATGTTTCACAGATCTTGTTGTTTTTAGTATTGTACCAGCTAGTTAATACCGCTTCGGAGCAGACAGAGCTATTTAATATGACAGAGCTCATCTAACTTAAGGCGGGTCAAGAAACAAGTTGATTCGATGGGTTTGAGATGAGTGGGTTTGAGTGGGCGAAAAGTTGGCTTGTGCTGAGCAGGAGTTTTTGGGTCGCTCTTGGACCCCAGGAGAGAGTTAGTGAAGTTGATCAATAAACTTGCAACTTCAATAACTCTAATCGGTTCGGCTTCAAGTTAATTTATTGAGAACGCCTTCAATGAACTTCTCGCAACAACCGGCGCAATATATTGATGAACGGAACAGAGATGGCGGATGGTCTATTGTAATATCATGTTATGTCGTGCACCTAATTTGGCGAGTGGCGATCCACCGTAAGCGGACTAAGTGAAACATTTAAGCCCCTTCAACATCATACAGCCAAGCATTGGAACACCGTCAAACCACTGTCAAACCCCGCAAGATGAAATTACCAGATGGAAATTTCTTTCGGTGACCGCAGCTCGTCGGATCCAAGGCACTTCCTTAGATATTTAAACTTCTCGGTTGTCAAAACCAAACCGCAGTGTCTAGCGGTAGCAGAATTTCTCTCCAAGGTTTTGGGAAAAATAACTGGGGGTTTCCACTACTGAAAGTAAACAATGCAGGAGTAATATTTTTTTAAACCGATATGGCTCCCATCATCAGTAGCCAAGCACCAAGCCATTTGAGACCCTCCTGCTAAAGTTTTTCGGTCCACCACCGCTAGGCTTCCGTAAAATGCACAGCGCCACCTACGCACTTAGCACCACAAACATCCAGATAACTCATAGCCCCAACTAATATCGACCATCACTGGACATGTCAAAAGCCTACTACACAGTCAGCTATCGGATATTGAGGAATACCCAGATCTTCGAATTAACCGTTGAGGTCTTCCTCAGTCTTCCAGGGTTTGTTATGTTTGCAAATAAGGTTACGAACTAGAAGCAACTACCGAAGTGTTACTAGAGTTAAAAATTCCTTACCGATGAGTCAAAAAGAACCTCTCCTGGAACATTTTCAATCTCATGCCAGGTTTTTTTGATATTTTTATTGGAGCTTTCTGTTTACGTGACGCGTTCCATGTCTAGCGAACAACATCCGTGCGCGACACCTGTTCGCAGTCTCACCACTGAGGAAGGTAAATTGCAACAGGACTTAATCAAAGTCTTAAACCGAATAAGTCGGAGTGATTGGACTGAATCTTCCACCCTTTAAACTGTATTCCAATGCCGAAAATGGGTTGGTAACTACATCTTGCACAAACGTCGCTAACGCTACCTGAGTGCGTACTGTAGACGGAAGAGTGGGAATGGAATATAACCCTGCGGCTGTAACTGCATCACCAGAAGCGCCCCTGGAATGAGAACGATCTCCAGTCCGTTCGGAAGGATTAGGTGGGGAAGAACCAGGCTTCACTTTGTATCTGCAATTTTCACCGATCTGTAAAGCGAAGAAATGACGGACCTTCAAGTGCCAGATCTGCTGGACTGTAAGCTCCTTTTCTCCAGACAAGAATGCCATCTTTGAAAGATGTCCGATATAGCCAGCACACAATCAAACGACCCTAATTGGCTGTTAACCTAAACTGAGTTAGGTTGTCGAAAGGGTGACAGCCCTTGGCCGCATAAAATCCGGGTCAACTCCGGTGAGTATAACTCGCTGTGCTACCTGTCCAAACTTGACCCGATATACCCAACGTATATCCAGCATGCAATGAGTTCCTGGATGACACTAACCACATCTTTGGATGCCCTCTGAAACCAATTCAACTAACCCCCCTTTCCTACTAGTCCGAACCCGTTGAAACGCTTGTTTCCTGGACGTTCCATTAGAAGATCTCGATGACTTAGACTGATCTTGCCAACTCCTATGTAGGGTCAGCGTACACCTACTTCTCCCCAGCGAAGAGTTCCAAACTATGTTAATATCTTCGAAAGACGTCCGATTAAACCTGCACATTAAAAAAAGGAACAGCGTTCATATTGATCAAACAAATGCTCTCCTCCCAACATCCAAAGCCAAAGAATCAAGAAATTTCCACACAAAAAACCCGCATCTCATTCATTGCAAAACAACATCATGTGCGTAAACACATCTAATGTGGAGTCGCGTGTCGTTAATGACACACTAATGAGTGTCTCATCTTATTGAGCTCCACAACAACAACAACTGTCACGTTCAATGATAAGACGATGTGAATATGAATACAGTTGGCACAGCTGAAACGCTCATTCCACATAACAGTTAAGTTTACCAAATCGCTCTCTACTTTCCCACAGCGCTTCGGCTTTCGTAGACGAGCAGCGTGACAATTGTCATGTGAACTGCTATTGGCACTACCAATTTCACAAGCTGAATTGCTTCGCATCGAGAAAAGTAAACAAATAAAGCAAGTATTGAGTAAAATATGAACGGTTTATTAGCTCAGCGTGGGATATCCAAGCGCCCTGCTGTTGGCTGTTAATCGTCTGTTATTATTTTTATGATACCGGTATTTAATGTTTGGGAGAGCTTCTACTCTTCTCTTCCGCTGGCATTCTCTACCCTTCCACTTTTAATTTCTTTATTATTATTGCTTACATTTTGTATTCATTGCAATTATTGTAATCTTGGCATTATTTACTTTATATAGCGTTGTGAAGGGAAGCTCTGTACACTCGGTGTTTGTGGCCTCGGCCTGTTCTGGTCACTGAACTTAGCCAATACTTGGGTGTTAATCGCTATAAGTAATATATTTATTTACATACTCTTCAAACTCTTTCGTCAAAAGTCATGTGAGTGCAAGGACTCTGAACGATTGAGCTCACACAAGTTTAACAATTTTCCTAGCGCCCAACTCTCTGCATACTTTACCTATCACGGAGATCTTTGTAGAGCGGCAATCCCCCTTTTGGTTTGGTGGCAATTGGAAAGACCAAGTGAAGTGAAATTTCACTCCACCTCGATGAAAAGATTTTCTCTCCCCAGCGAAGCTCTGACGTGTCTTTATTCATTCTTGCTTTAGCTAAAGAGCTGGGAATTGTACAACACGCGGATCTAATC